AGGCATGGTGTTGCATTCCTATAATCCCAGCCACTTGAGGAGCTGAGACAGGAGGATCATGAGTTCAAAGCCAGCCTCAGCAAAGGCGAGGCACCAAGCAACTCAGTGAGATCCTGTCTCTAAATAAAATACAAAATAGGACAGGGGATGTGGCTCAGTGATTGAGTGTCCCTGAGTTCAGTCCCTGGTAACTCTCCTCCCCCACACAAAAAAAAATGTATTCTAAGACAGAAGAATAGTTTTGCCAGATGTTAATATATCCAGCAATATGTCTGATTTTTTATACTCTGTTTAGGCTTCTGTTATGCTATGGTTTGTATATGAAGTGCTCCCCAAAGTTTCACGTGTTGAAGGCCCCACTGCAGCAATCAGGGTTGGGGCCTTGGGGAAGTAATTAGCTTATGAGGACACTAACCTCATCAAAGAATTAATCCATCATGGCTGAATATACAAGGTAGTGGAAACTATAGGAGGTGGTACCTAATTGGAGCAAATGGTCACTGGGGCATGCCCTTGCTCTCTTTCCTGCACAAGTTGAGCAACCTTCCTCCAACACATCCTTCTAACATGATGTTCTACCTCACTACCTCAGGCTCAAAGTGTGGAACCACCAACCATAGCCTGAAACCGTGAGTCGAAATAAATCTTTCCTCCTCTAAGTTGTTTTTCTCGGGTATGAAAAGCTAATCCAATTCTGCTGTGTTAGTACTAAAGTGTTTTAATACTGATGAATTTTTAAATATCTATGATAAATAATCAAAGGAAAAATCATTACTTGGACAATTATAAAATATCCACCACACCCAAAACAGGCATTTTTTGCAGATGATTTTCTATAATGACCATCCTGACCTGGCATCAAGAGTTTTTCTTTCAATTTGAATATTTAGTCTTATGTTTTTATTGGAGTGAAATTGAATGGGACCATTTGAATAATACATTACTAAAGGCATCATGAATTGGAAACCCAATGTAAGAGGAACAGGACTTCAGTTTTCTAACTTCAAACAAAAATACCCCAATTCATGTATAGCCAGAGGTGGAGTTAAGAGCAATATATTAAACCACATAAGAATCTCAGAATAGTCATAAAAACCGGTTGTAGAAAATCCAAGTAAAAGAGAACAATAGCCTAAACAACTTGCCAATTCACACACAGGCTGTGTGTCAATGAATCCCTCTCTCATCTTAAAATAGATAGCTTTTCCTTTCTATTATGAGGGTTAAAATAACTGCAACTTTTCCATTTTTGTTATGTTGAGGAACCTTGAGCCTAGGAGCAAAGTTAAGAGACCCAGGGTAAGTGCAAATTGATAATGCTTTAGGTGTGAGGGTAGTAAAAGTGAGATCGCAACCAGGAATGACACTTTAGGAAAACATGATAATGATCTGGTTCCAGGTGTGGGAATTGGAAGCAAGGGGTGTTCAAAGAACATGTGAGAAATCCTGCCCCCGGGTGGGTTTTAAAAACAGGTGGTAAAATTTATTTCTCTATGTAAGGTTGAAATATTGGGACAAAATGTAAGAAAATCAACATGGAAGACATTAATATTATTTGGTGGCATAGAAACTAACTAATATCTGATATTTTTTTTCTGTTTCATGTGGTCTAAAGTTTCTATAATTGGATAGACACAATCTGAGTGGCTGCATTTTTATCAGTTAATAAAGAAACATGAAACTACTTAAGGCATTGACAACCTCAAGACAATTGTTAGGTTTGTTTCCAACATGGTGTTAATTTTATATGTTTATGTCCTCATTCCTCAGGGGAAAAAAATCAATGGTGCTATTTTATAAGACAAGAGTAGACTATGAATATAGATCTGTATCATACCATGATTTTTCTTTCCATATCACTATGGTTTTGGATATTTAAAAACTATTCTTCCTGGTATCAGATCTTCTTCCTAGTGCTATCATAATAACCAGAACTATGTGTTTATTTATTTTCAGAACAAAGCCAATTGATTTTTTTCCTAGATGATGAAAGAGCTTGCTTCAATTACCACCAGTGCTTCTTTCAGCTGGATCACGAGGAACAGCTTATCATTATGTCTTAGCATAAGGCAATCTAGAGATCTAATAAGAAAGTTATTTTCTGTATTTTAAATTAAAACAAAAACAGGTATTATGAATCAAATTTATCATCAGGGAAATCACTGAAATTTATTTAATCGAGGCCTGATACAATTTCAGTAAGTGCTCTCTTGAACAAGAAATCATGCAAGTTCACTGAGGAACCTTGAATACTACTGAGGCTGCAGTTACTATTGTGAAATTACAAATGTATGAAAATTCTGCCATTTTCATTCTGACCTACTGAGAAAGAAAGAGAATCATCATTCAATCAAGAAAGAAAGGGGTAATGTGAGGGGAAAGGAGGTCAGGAGTCCTGGCAACTGAGAGAGAAACAGGTAAGGATGGAAAAGCTATTGTGTAGAAAAAAACACCTTCCTCAGACTTAAGACAATGAGATCCAAGGGCCTAAATCCATTTTGAAAAATACACAAATGGCCTCCATTGGCAAGATAATCATAAATAAATGGACAAGTCACTGTAATTTTAGATACTGAGAAACAATAGTTTCTCAATAAGGCCAATAAGTTTAAAACACTTTTAAATATTACATGTAAAAAAAAATAAGAGATACCATGGGAAGTTACACACTGTAGTCAATACATAAAGGCAGCATCCACAATAGAAACTAATCAGTATTAGAGTGTTCATCTTCAAGTTTTAATTTAAGCATAAATAAAATGATATTTACAGCATACAGTCGCATACATAATCTTTCTGCTTAGTAGAGGAAACAGGACAAAATGGTTCTGAACAACAAATAATCATTAATCACACCTTGTAGTTCCTAGGGAACATTCAGAAGAAATAGGTCTTCAAAGATACCATTTCTTACTTAAGCCCAAAACCTGTACGTATAAATACGTGGATAGAGGTACATTTGCACTTCATAAACCTTAGGCTCTTTTCTCCATACAACCTCCATATCTTAAATGGGACTGTGAAGAAAAATACCCACACACCCACACACGCAGATACACTCCTTAAATGTCGCTGAGTCTGTATTAAAGAATATCCTCCATCACTCATTTCCTTTGATGGATGTTCTGACCCCAAAATAGTTAGGATTATAATTTGCATTCAACACTCAGCTGCTGCATATTAAATCAGAGGCATAGTATCTATTTAAATTTTCTAAACATGAGCACATACATGTTAGTGGAGATGAACACCATTTTATAAAACCTGAATACTAAAATTTATCTTTATGAAGCAAAGCAATCATCTTATGAAAAAAGCTCCACAATAAATTAATTTAAATAGACTAGTCTATTTAAAATACTTCTTTAATAAGAATTCAGTATTTCACAATATTAAGTCCTATATTTCTACCAAATATTGACTTTCAGAAAATTAGTAGTTTCAATTAGATTAAATGAGCAGTATACAGATTGAAATATTTTAAAACTTTAAACTTTTTAAGACAAAGAAGTTGTTATTAACAATTCTGAGAAAGCTTATTTTAATCAAAATATGCCATTATGGTCTTTTATTTTCCCTTAAAGAAATATATTTCTCAGAAAATGAACCATAATAATAAAACCTGTTTAATTTAATGCAGTTGCAAGTACAAGTACTGTTTTTTCCAGTTAAGGCACTACGTAAGTGAGTTAGACTTCTAGTAGATTCTGCTATAGTTCACTGGGCCTCATTTTATTCTTTGAGTCATGTAATTAAATGATCACATCCAATAGAAACATGGCAGTACCTATCAATCAAAAGAGTACTTTCCTTTCTGAAATCAAGAATCAAATGCTAAAAGGGTCCATTCTACAAGAACCCCAGTGCAACTGATGTCACAGTGATTTCAATTATTAAAAGGAGATTTGCTAACAAGACATGTAACACTGTTTTTGGAACCCTAGTCAGTCATTCAGCCTTGAGTTCTTAAGAATTTGTTTTAATGTCATATTGCCAATCATACACTGAATTTTTCAGAGAAAAAAATGCACAAAGTAGCCAGTGGCATCCAGATCAACTCATTGATGTTAATAATTTGTCATTCTGCCAACAGTTTTTTGTTTGTTTTTCTTTTAATAAGACCTGATCAAAGTAATACATACTTGAAATCATCACAGGATAATGTGTCAGCTTTTTCAAACATGAAACACACATGCATGTTAAGGATGCAATGGACTTTGCACTGTTGGCTTTTGAATTCAGCTCTGTTTGTTATATATTCATTATATTATTACTCGGGAAGAAGGAAAGTTTTTTTTTTTTTTAAATAATTTTTTTTCCTCTAACCATTGCAGCTGCTTCTTGCAAGCAACAAAAGTTGCTAGAGAAATCATATATACACATACATGTAAAATTAGGGAAACAAGCTGCTTTATTGCCCGATTTAAAATAAGCTCAATCAGTAGAAAAGAAAAATGCTATAATATGCAGCTTGATGAGCAGCTGAAGACAGAAATACACTCAGATGCAGTTTTAGAATTCAGGATATATCTTATTCAGTGATGTCTGAATGAAATGAAGGACATTTTTTCCTCTTACTTTTTCTAAACCACTGAACCAACAAGTGGGATTTATGTGGGTTATATAGTCTAAAACAGAGAGATGTAAAATTTCTTTAATATGGTCCTATGGCTTTAAAGGCCTTAATTAAAATAAAAATTAAAGGTCTTGTTCCTTGTTAATTCTCTTTTATGGAATTATAACATATTTAAAATACTAATTATAAGAATTCCCAATTAAAATGATCATACAATCAAAAATAAAACTTAAGTTATGCAAGAGTGGTCATTACCACTCACTCTTTAGTAGTAAAACAAATACATTGATTGTATTGCAAGGCAATAATTAGAATATGTATTAACACAATTATAAAAGAACACTAAGAGGCATTTAAATCATCATCTCACAGGTCTAGGGGAGGAAGACATTGAAGAATCTGGAAAATATGAAACCAAGCTTACTCTTGACGGTCGCTGTCCGGGTGCAGTTGTAAAGGATAGCCAGCTCCCCAAACACTTTTCCGGGACCCATGGTACACAGCTTCACGCCTTCTTTTGTAACTTCAACCTTCCCATCTAAAAAAAGAGAAAATCATGTTATCTTAATTTTCTGCCATGTTTCATTTCTTTTACTTCATTTACAATATGAGATTAAAACGTATAGTTATTTAAAAAATGCAATGTTACCAATTAAAACAAAGTTGTCATGAATACGTAATGCCAGAAATACAAAAATATATATAAGAAATCCAACTCTTTTCTTAAATCATCTCTGATAAGATTTGAGATGACAGTTTAAGCCCAGAAAAAGATGGGCATAAAAAGAGTAAACATAAGAAGTTATTCCATATTTAATACTGGTAAATCATGATAATTCCAATTTTACCATTATTTGAAATCTGAGAGAAAACTTAATTAAGTGGGTACATTTTCTAGAGCACACTTCATGCTTGAAAATTTTCATTTTGAGTAGGCAGCTATTATGAAGAGGGAAATTATGGTGACCCTTGGGCATTATTTAATTGCAGCTCATGGTATCTCTTTATTTGTAAACATCTTATCTGACTTAGGCAAGACTGTTTATCTGTTTCCCAGCCCTGCCAACATTGACTGTCAGAAAAAAATAAACTATAAACCTTGAGGGAAAAGAAAGAGTTTTTAGGACTGTTGTCATCCACAAAAGACTTGGAAAATGAAATGCTAAAGAAGGAACAGGCTAAGGAAACAGCATACACTGAGTAGATACTGTTGTCTGCAAGTAAGGAAGATGACATTCATAGGAGAAATGGGGGGGGGGATACATTTTTAAAGTTATAGCTCTGTAGGTTAAAAATTCCATCACCAGACACAACTAGGAGAGAACTAAAAAGGAAACACAATCTATTCTAGACCTCATCCTCTTCCTTTTTATTATTCCTCCAAGTTTCTTACCCACAGTCTACAGTTGAATAGCCTAATGCTTAACAAAAGAATTAGTTCCTGGCTGGCATAGTGTGGCATACCTGTAATCCCAGTAGCTCCAGAGGCTGAGGCAGCAGGATTGTGAGTTCAAAGCCAGCCTCAGCTACTTAGTGAAGCCCTAAGCACCTCAGTGAGATACTATCTCTAAATAAAATATAAAAAAGGGCTGGGAATGTGGCTCAGTGGTTAAGTGCCCCTGGGTTTAATCTTTGTAACCAAAAGAAAAGAAAAAAAAATCTATTTATTAGTTCTTGATCAAAGAAAGAAGTAATGTCTGTCCCTCCAGTGTTTTCCCATCTTCTGGCTTCGTGCATTGACTTCATAATTGTTCCTTTATCTGTGAGCCTGATATAATAGTTGGTTTTTAAGAGTGTTGGTTTTACATTCATTCCTTCTCTTTTAAAATCAACCTAGTTTAATCTAAATAATGTTGGGAAAAGCATAGTTTTGATGGGTTATTTTTTAGAAAAGTTTAATATTAATCTTAACTATAATAAAAATAATATGAGATAAAATTTAAGTATAAAAATATTAAAACTTAATCCATGTATCAGTGATGCATGACCTAGCTTAAGAGCACATTGTTCTACCCTGAAAACCATTTCATATAAATAGTACTAATGAGAGAAAATTCTAGAGTAGTGAGGGTTGAATTCTACATAAACTTTACACATTATACTTGATCTGTGTACTCATGCCCGCTCTCTGCATGTAATGAAGATAATCAGGAATAAATAAATCCAACAATTTGGTTTTATTTTAGTTAATTTTATCTTATTACTGAAAGTGAGACAGGCCAGACTCTAACATGGTGGCTAAATTAATGCATCTTCTGAAGTCACACCAAGATTTTCTTACCTGTTTTCTCCCCAGCCTTATGACCTGGGGCAAGTTGCTTAATGTCTCAGTGCCTCAGTTTCCTCACTGGTAAAGTCAATGAAATCAGAGCACTTACTTCATTAAGTACACATTAAATGAGACAAATGCTTAATAGTGTCTGGCTCACAGCAAATGCTCAATAAATGATTGTTATTGCCATTGTTTTCATTGTGTTTCCCCATCACATGTATGAAGGCATGCATTATTTAGATCACACTGGAGAACAATATTTCATCACCTACTTCAGAAACAAACCAGGGTCCATATAGAGAAATGCTTTATTTTTTTAAATGGAGGAAAAAAAATATTTTCAGATTCTTTCTCTCGGGGGCATTAAAGAGAGAACTTTTGAGTTCAAATCATTATCAGACCCAAAGAAAAAAAGAGAAGTTCACAAAATCACTCTGATCTACCTGAAAAAACAAACAAGCAAAAAAAAGGGCAAGTCTTTGGACACTTCTCTATTCGCCTGTACCCAGTCAATATTCAATGTAATTCTCCTTCTGCTGCTAGTTTTTTCCTAAGGTTCCCTACAATAACATAGCACCAGCTTTTCAATGCATTATAAAATTTTCTTGACCTAAAGCCCTACCATCAATTATAAATAGAACTAAGATCAAAATGAACAATGCTTAAAACATTAAAAAACAACTTCCATAAATAAATGATTTTGTACAATTCTGCTTCTCTGTCTCTTTGGGTGTGACATTTAAAAGTTTTCAGTGGAAAGAGACCCTAAAGCATAAATAAGATCACTACTGAGAATCCTGCTGGACAGTTTGGGAGTTATGCCTTTCAGAAAAATAACCAGTCTAAGTAAAAGACAAAGAGGAACATCAGGACTCTTGTTTTAGATTTCTTTTTGCTTTGTTTTCTTTTGTTTTAGTACCATGGATTGAACCCAGGGGCACTTAACCACTGAGCAACATCGCCAGCCCATTTTATTTTATTTTTTAAACAGATCTCCCTAAGTTGCTCAGAGCCTCGATAAACTACAACTTGCTATCTTCCTACATTAGCCTCCCAAGTTGCTGGGATCACAAGCATGCACCCCCTTACATGGTTCAAAGAGGATTTTAAAGAATCTTTAGTTACAGGAATGTGCCACCACACCCAGCCTAGCTGAATGGTTTCTTTTAGGAAGTCTGTGGACTAACCAACCACATCATGATAAGTATTCAGATATTTCCCCTTTTAAGAGGTTGAAAGTGTGTCTCCACCACCATGAGTACTATATTTGGTCCTACTGCTACTTCATTCCCTGAAAAACCACAGTCATATAATACCTATTTTAACTTATGGACAATTAGCCTTGTAACTGATTATGTTTTCCCTTCTCTTATAACCTTGCAAAGGTTTGTAGTCAGAACTGTGGTCTGGTTATAAAGTCTCAGAGGTATGAAATTTGTGCACAAAGTTACTTCTAGTTCCCAACTATTTTCATAATCTTACTTTATATTTGCCTAATTTTCTCATGTCTAACTTATTATTGTTGTAAATATGGATATAAATTATATATGCTAATTAGTCATACATGTATGAATAATGCTGCTAACAGAAGGTTGTGTTCCACATTAATTAGAATAGCTAATTTTTGTTTAAAGAAAGGTATTTAGGTTATTTTTGAGAAATAAAAGTTTGGATATAAAACATCTTGCTTGAGTTAAAAACTGAAGGTCAATATAGTCACAATAGTCAAGGAAATATAAGAAATCTGATATGATAGATTAAAGTGACTTCAAAAAAGCACTATTTAAAAAAAGTAAACAGAAACATCTTAATGGTAAACAGGAACAGTGTTTATAACTTGTTACTCTCAGTCACAAACAGATTGCTTATGCTTCCTCACACCTGTTGTGTAGATGAGGAACAAGTAATTCAGGGATGCAGGACTGATTGGTGCCGAAATGAAAATCAGGTGTATACATGGTATGAATGAGAGTTTTTTCTAACACATTTAGAAGTATCCCAATTTTCTAAAAGACCAGGAAAACAAGTCATTGATATGAAATGGGTTAAGCTTATGCACCAGCCTTGTAGTAAAATTGGAATCAATTAGAATTTTTACAGATTATTTCCAACTATGGAGTGTGTGCTCCACTTAAGAAAGCTAAGAAATAAGACAAGGCAAAAGTTTACTGCATACACGAGCAGCCCTAGTCCTACCCAATAGCTTAATAAACTTCCTCTATAGTGTTAGGCGGTCATGAAGCCACTCCCCTAGATTGCACTTCTTTACTTCATAGGCTGAACTTTTGTATGCTTTGCCAGAGGCTTATTCCTAACTTGGAAAGGTTCAGCTTAAAGGTTTTTATATAATTTGCTGCTAACTTTAGGAATGCATTTTGATGAACTCATTTCAGATCATCATTAATTGATGTGATTTCTATTGCTTTAAAGACATAGAAAAGATTCATCATCATTTATTCATGATTATTTTAATACATCAATTGGATTCTCAAATATGTTTGATTTCAAATCAAAGATTTTTAGAAAAAGAGTAGCAGAAAGTCAGATTCAGAATATTCTGGTAAAGTCCTGGACTTTTCCTATTATTATTTTCTCTGACCAAAGTCAACAAGTCAGCAGTCACTAGAGGCTCTCAGAACTGTTAGTTGGGAAACTAATGATATTCCAGTTAATCTCTACACTCTACTTTTGCTCCTCCTATTGTTTTTTAAGATGATAATACTCTATTTGTAATATTTTCTCTATGCCTTTTGCCACAATCTCTATGTGGAGGAAACAAAGAAACATTCAAATCATTTTAATTTGGATGTTTCTAAATTGCTAGAGTTGTTTGCCCAAGAGAAGTTGTTCAAAACAGGTGGCCGAGAAGAGGTTAAAAGAGTTATTTATAGTTTCATTAAATTCTTCCATCACTCCTGCCATTGCCTTGAATAACTGGAAGATGTATCACAGTAACTTGAACATATTTTTAATTCTACTTCAGGTACCATATGCCTATTTACGATCTGGAATGAGCTAAGTCTTAAATCTTGTCTCTTTGAGCACCAATCAATCTGCCTTCTGGTTTTTGGCACCACTATATATGCACTACCCTTGGGGGATGCTAAGTGCTAACAGATCCATTATAAAGCATCTACATTCTTGTTGATCTTTCATAAAAATCAACAGATCCCATAAATAAACAGAGTTTACAAGGGGATCCCAAATTGCCTTACTTTGTTTATCCTGGTGGGTTTTATTATTATTATTTTTTTAACGAACTTGTT